CCAGTTAGCTCCTGTTCTCTCTGCCTTGTGCTAGTGGATCAAGCTAAGCTCTCAGCTACTGCCCCAGAACCATGCCTGCCTGCTGCCATGCTTTTAGCCACGATCGTCATGGACTCTAACCTTAAACTCCCAACTTTAAAAAAACTATAGTTTTGGTGTTTGGAGACTGGGTTTTCCTATGTAACCCCAGTTGTTCCTGGGCCTAAGTGCTAAGATTTAAAGGTGGATACCAGAAGCGCCACAAACACCTTTTGTTTACACTTTGTATTGGTCACAGTGTTTGTCACAATAGAAAAGTAACTAAGACAAAAAACAAACAAACAAAAAACCCACCTTGTTTTTTCTTTTCTTTTAAAAACACTGTCTCACTATAGCTCTGGTTGACCTGCAACTATATAAACTAGGATGACCTGAAACTCCTGCCTCTGCCTCCCGAGTGATAAGATAGAAAAGATGTGCACCACTGTGCTGAGCCCAAACAACAATACTTTTGAATTCATCCACTTTCTCATACTCCAGATCTTTCTAGAACCTTGTGCCTATGTCAAGAGGCCTCTGGAATCTTTCCACTTGGTCTTTTAAGTTCTCTTGCATTCTTACTAGAGACACTTTTCCTAACAACTTAAGAGAGACAAATTCTAACTAGATTTCTCTTTATCTAGCTTTTGTAGTCTCTAAAAGAACTGATTACTAGGCCAGGGAAAAGGCTGGGCTAGTAAAAGCTCTTACTGCCAAACCTGATGAGCCAAATTCAATTCCACATCGTGCAAGAACTGACTCCCAAAAGTTATCCTGACCCCTTCAATACTTGCGGTAACTGACAGACATGGACGGACAGACGGACGGACGGACAGACACACACGCACAGAATAAAAAAGAACTCACTGCCACCTAACATACTATAGTTCGATATGTACCTGTTGGTGGCCACTGGGATGCACATTTAAGCAGGGTGTCACTTACCCTGCTCCCCACTGTTAACACTCCCACCTCTGCCTGAAAAAAACGCTTGGCATATAGCTGCCCATGAAGAATGAACCTCTGTAGAGTTCTATTTCCTTCTAACAAGCACTCTATAAACCAGCACAAGTAAAAAAAATAACCTGTGTGATGCACCCAACATTGAGAGGAATGTGGACTTTTTTTTTTTTTCCATTTTCTAACCTTCCCTCCCATTTCCAAAAAAGAGGTAGGCTAAAGAAACACAAAGACCAGCTTAGTTCTCTTTTGGGTATTGTCATGCTTAAGGGAAACAAGTATTCCACCTTAAGGAAATATTTGCATTTTTCATGACTAATTGTCTTCCACAAAGGTAGCTCTTTGTTTTCTCCTTTGGAACAGAAAGGCTGGGGAAGGAGGAAGGCAGGGGAGAGCAATGTATTTCCAGATCGGCCCTCAAACACCTCCTTTGGTGACTAATCTCCATGTAGTTGGCTTGTTACCCACCCCCAAGCAAGTCCCGCTTTTCTCAAACTGGGTGCTACTAGCAAGTCCATTCAAATGCAGGGTTCTAGAATTGACACCTGTGGCTCCAAAGACAGAAGGCCTAGAGGACTAAGGAAGGGAGGAGGGTTCTACTTACTGGGCTCTTATTTCCCTTCTCTGGAGGTCGCCAGCCGCGCCAGCCTTCACCTCCGTTATCTCTACGGGCGACTAGCCTGGGGCCTAGAGGCCTGGTCGCCCCTCGGCCTAGGAAACAGACCGGAACCGGGAGACAACTGCCGCGCACAAACCACTATACTGGGAATCCGGCCTCTACTCTGGGCCCGAGGGGGCGCAGGGAACCGGAAGACCTGAAGCGCTCATTCGGTGTGGATGGAAGGCTCTAGACCCTGAGCGGGGGAGGGGCGGCGGAGGAAGGGGGGGCTCCGAGAGGCCTGGGATTCCAAACCCGGTGGGGGAGGAGCTAGTGCGCCCTAGCCGCGGACCGGACCGGGAAGAGCCCTCTGGGGCTGCAGATGCCGGCCCAGGGACGCGCCTGGGGACAGAGGACTGGGAACTGGAGATCTAGTCCCCGACCACCAAGCGGAAGTGAGGTTCCCCTCCCCTCACCTCGGAGCATCGGCTCGGGCCGCGGGATCACGGCCACCACCACGGCCTCCTCGTCGTCCTCCCCTTCCTCACACTTGAGCGTCACCTCGAAGCAATCCAGCGCCGCGGCGCCCTCGGCTCTCAGGGCCATGGCGAGGCGAAGAAGGGCGACCCGATAGCCGAGGACCGACGCACAGACCTCGGCGCGCCGCCTGTAGCGGCCGCCTCCTACTCCGGACCACGCCGGGCCCGCGGCCCGCCTAGCTCACCCGCTGCTCGCCCGGCCGCCCCGCCAGCCACGGACTTCAGGGCGTCACGGCCCCGGGCGGGGAGGGTTCGATCCGGGGCCCCCAACCCCGCCGCTCCCTTTTATGGAGGCTCATTGTCAGCGTCCGTCCGGCAGTCCCGCCTCCTGACCAAGCTGGCCAATCACGTGAGGACACGCCCCCAGTCCCGCCCCAGCCACAGGTCTGGGCCAGAACCCCGTGCAGCTCCTTGTCTCTGGCCGCTTTGCTGGGCGACGAAGCCCGAAGTCTTCTTGGGAGCGCCGCCCGCACCCTTGGAGACCCGGTAGGGCAGCCCCACCAATGGCTGGCGGAAAGGTGCTGCGGGGCTGCTTGGCATCTTGCTTCTTGGCTTTCCCTTGACTAGCCGCCTGGAAAGCATCACGGACAAGAAAAGACCGGCGAGGATGTGGGAAGGATACATCGACTCAGAAGTGTGGAAACAGCATCTTTTCTTTTCTTTCCTTTGGGCCTCGTTCTTTTCTACTAGCACATAAGTTTTTGGGGTGGGGGGGAAATCACTTCGGATGCTCCTAAACAAAAGATTCTAGAAGATGAAGAGGACTGGAGTGGCGTGTGGGCATGTGCAAACCGCTTCCCGGTGGATATCATTTACGTTTTTTAAAAAAACTTGAGTCCAGAGAGTGTGGCCTTTTTCCAGGACACCGCAAATCCCGAGAGCCTCCAAGACCGGGATCCGGTTGCCATGGCGCTGCTGCCTGGCATTTGTGTCTGAGTGAAGGCTGTCACAATGGGCACTTACACTTCTACAGAACACCCACACACACACATACACAGACACTAGATTTCAGCTGAGAAACATCGAAAATGTCTGGCACTAAAAATTCTGATTTTAAGTGCCACCAACAGTAATTATCAGCCCAGAAACAGTAATTCTGGATGATGTAGGAAGGAGGCTAGGGAACAAGATAAACAGTTTAATACACATACACACACACACACACACACATATATATATATATGTTGTTGTTCGAGACAAGGTTTCTCTGTGTAGCCCTGGAGCTCACTCTGTAGACCAGGCTGGCTGTCCTGGAGCTCACTCTGTAGACCAGGCTGGCCTCGAACTCAGAAATCTGCCTGCCTCTGCCTCCCAAGTGTTGGGATTAAAGGCGTGTGCCACCACTGCCCGGCACTTACAGTATATTTTGTGTTTGTGGCCTAGGCATGTCCAACACTCCACCACTGTATCACCAGCTTTTATTTTGTTGAGATAAAGACTCACTTTGATGTCAGTCTGACATGGAATTTGTGTAACCCTGGTTACCCTAAACCCCTTCCTCCTCCCTCTGTTTCCCAGGTGCAAGGATTAAAGGTCTAAGCTAACACCACATACAGCAGCCACAATATAAGGAATTAAGGAAATTTCTGTTACTTTAAAATGTATCCAGTACTTTAAAGGTATTCCAAATGATGCTATTTCCTAGATCTGGCTAGTTCCTACCTAAAGGCTGTTCTTTGCTTTGCTCAAAGTCTCTGGGTAGTCTCTGCTCTGTTTTTGCAGTGGCCTGGCTACAGGAAGCAAACCTCAGGCAGATAGTGACTTAAGGCCTGAAAGGCAAGAAAAAAAAAAAGCCTATTTCCCCACCCCCACCCCCACCCCCGTGCCTGCTTAGTTCCTTTAACTCCTCCTGAGCTGGTGAGTCTGTGGCTCCAGTGTCTTTGTGAGTACTTGGTTTATGTCACTTCTCCTGTGACTTCTGTCATTTGGGTCACTCTGTGGTTCCTATTTCTTGTTTGATTCCTAAGCAATGGATAGTTCTAGTATTCCACCAGATTCTTATTTAGTTACATGTATGTGTTTTCTTATGGGTTATGTACCAGAGTACCTGTCTGAAGGTTAGAGAAACAGCTTTGGGGAGTTGATTCTCCTTTTTGTGTGGGTCCTGAGAATTCTACTCATTTGTCACTAGCCCTCTACCACATACTTAATAAGACTAGTTCTTTGGCCACCACAAGTGTAGTGGCAATTTTGGAGTTTTGATTTCTTTGAAAAAAAAAAGTCACAAAAATATTATAAGAATATGTTTTTATTTTACTCCCAAGTGTGGGATATGGGGCTGGTTTGGTTTGTCTGTAGCAGCTGACTATGATTTGCCTCATGCTTTAGCAGGGGTGTGGTTTTGCCAGCTGCAAATAGTTTAGTTTCTACAATTATGTGACGTTTGGAATTCTGATGGTGTTTGAGAGGTTATGTAAATGGTGGGGTTGGGATTGGTGGTGGTGGAGGAGGTCGAGGAGCTGGATAGTTTGAGTTGCTGGTTGGTTATTGGTCAGTTTAAGTAGTCCCACACAAAGAAGAAACAAGAAATTAGATATCCCAGTGGCAAAGATCAAACTTTCCCCAAGGAACCTGATGCCCCTAATCAGCAGGAAGTAGTCACCCCTTTTTTAATCCCCCACTTTATTCAGGGGTCTCTTTCCTTTCATTGCGATCCTTTTCTCTCCTCTGTTGGCCTTCTTGCTCGGATGGAAAGGCATCTTAGGACTCAAAAGTTCAGGAACAACAGGAGATATCCTAGTAGAAGGGCATCCTGAGACTGGGAGGCTGGGAACCATACAGCTCTGAGAGGAAGCCTCTTCAGGAGAGATGTTGCAACTCCCAGAGGATGGGATTCCTAGCTGAGCTCAGAAGCCTCAGTCCTGCTCCCACTTCACTTCTCCTCATAGCTTCTGGGCTTCTTCCGCGTAACACCAGGCAGCAAATTCCATAACAAGTGATCTATTGGGAGAGTCAGGGGTGTGGAGGGTGCAGTCTGTCAGTGGCGGCCTCTGCTCCTGGAAGTGAACAGCAGGGAACTAAGGCAGACGTTTCCAGGGTGAGGATTGGAGGGATTTTTAAATCCTGAATTTGGGAAGCTCAGGGATTGGTGCGTTTTGTTTAGACGCTTCACTTAAAATGAGCATACTCTGGGGAGGGTCCTGTTGAGGAGCTGGAGATGACCTTTGTGACAGTTACAGAGGTTGAAATCACTGTTATGACAGTTAGGGTACTGTGGGGGAGGGACCAGATTGATGGACCCCCTCAGGCAGGGGCCTAGCTACTTTCCTGCTTTGAGAGTTTTCAAAGCCAGTCCTCTGTGTTGAGGCCTGCTCCTTTTAATATAACTGTAGCCATTTTGTATTCAGTCTCTACTTTGCTCATAAGGTGAAAGTAAGTTCAGGTTCTCAGACTCTGTTTCCCAAATGTAATCATCCATAGCTGACACTTAAAAAAATGTTACTAATAAAAGAGTTACGGTTAAATCACTCATCCCCAGTTAACGTTCTGAGATTTCCCTGTTGACCACCTGTCTACCACTCTTCTTACTTCACTCAGGAACAATCAGTGTAAAGGTCAGCTGATCATACTTTGTCTAGTTAGCCAAAACTGTTGTACCGCTTTACTGCTTGCCTTCAAACTTTTGAACCTGGTTTTTCATATAAAAAGTCTGCCTTGAGGACAGATTGGTGCCATAATTAGATTTTTCCTTCTTGTGGATCTGGACATCCAGTATTATGGTGTGAATTCAATAAACTAGTCTTGCTTAATCGAGATTGGTGCTCGTATGGTTTGTATGACAAGTCCCAGAGCTCAACACTCTGCTGCCGCTTGAGTCAGTGTGAATAGCCAACATCTTATATAATGTTAGGGGGCTGAAAGGGTGGAAGAAAAAAGAACCCAACAAGTAGCCAAAGACCAATTTTAAATGTCACTTTAATTTCCTCAGATGAATGGACGAGATGAGAACTATGCCCAAACTGTGGGAATACACAGCTTAGCCTGGGTGCAGAGCATTTTTTTCTCAGTTCTAACTACCCCTGGACCCAGGCCTGGAAGCTTCTAGCTTCTATACAATCTAATCTTCAAAGCTGACTTATTCAATCCAGCTTTTCTTGGCTTCTGCCTGAGTTTCTCTGCTTGGCCTCATACTAACTTTGGCAATATGTTTTTTCTTGTGTCTAGTTCATTGTCTCTGCAACCTTTCTCTGTAAAACTCTCCCAGTAAAACAGCTACACACACAGATGCACATACTGTATCTCTCTAGCTGCTCTAATGTAGCCTCATTTCTATGCTGTTCTCATGCGAGTTGGGTATGTTCTCTCTCTTACTTGTTCTGTCAGATCTTGCTCTGATTCATCACTTTAGTTACCCCTCAAACATCACTTTCAAATGTGGCTGCTTCCTTCTACAAACTAACCATGTCTTTATTTTTAGCAATTAAAGGTGTGCACTAAGGTTGTGTATGTATTCCAGCCATATCATACTGTAATCAAGGGCCTGTCTGCATTCTGGCTGGATCATATAGACCTAGGAGGTCTTTGGATGTGATCCCTTCCCAGAGCAGCCATGTTGCTGGGTTAAAATTCCTCTACAACCAGTAATAAATCTTTTACAGTAAGTCATATTGTACATGTTTTGTAATGTAAACTGTTAAAGGTTAACAAACTAAATTGCTAGGCAGGTACTGTGGTATATACCAATAATCTCAGCTATTTGGTAGGCTGAGACAAGAAGATGGCAAGTTTGAAGTCAGTTGGGATAATATAAGTGAGGCCTTCCCTCTAAAACAAGAGTTAAGTTGTTGGTTCAGGATTGTTAAGATGGCCAATAGGCCCAAGCCTAATGACCTGAGTTTAATCAACAGGATCCACACAGTAGGATAGAATTGATTTCTGTAAGCGATTCTCTGATCTCTGTGTATTTCCACACAACATAAACATATACATATAAAATGTAATAAAATATATCTTTTAAAAAGTAGACAGTGACTGAAGTCTGATGGCTCAGCAGTGAATAGCACTGAATGCACTTCCAGAGGACCCAGGTGTTGAGCCCCGCTCCTTTTAACATCACTGTAGCCATTTTGTAATCAGTCTCCATTTCGCTCATAAGGTGAAATTAAGTTCAGGTTCTCAGACTCCACTTCCCAGACATAATTATTCATAGCCGACACTGAAGAATTTTAAAAGGTTGTAATATGCATTCTCTGTTATGTCAACACTCTGAAACTCCCCTGTTCACTACCTGTCCACCACCCGTTACTTCACTTAGGACCAATCAATTTAAAGGTTAGTTGATAATACTTTGAT